CACACACACACACACACCTGAGTGAGCTCCTGCTGCTCCAAATCCCATTTTTTGATGCCGTTGTCTCTTGACCCGCTGAACAGCACATCTCCCTGTACAGCCAAACATTCGATGCCGTCATAATGAGGAGGCTCAAAGTTATGAGCTGGACCTACATTACCCATAGTTCCCTCTGCCACGTCGAACACCTGGGGAAGGAGGAAGAAGGTGACTCTAAAAGACATGTTTGCATCTGTGACAATAGGATATGGTCTAAGTGTGTGTGAGTGTGCATTACCTTGACATAATGGTCTTTGGAGCCAGTGATAACTTGGTCTTTGCCCAGCAGAGACTGTCCCACTGTCAGACACATGACTGAGCCAATGTGGCCCATCAACTTCCCCATCCCTTGCATCCTGCACACACACACACACAGACAAGCACGCAGCAAAGAGGTAAAGCAAAAATCTGTGAAATTCATTATTTACAAGAATTTGATTTTCAAGGTGCCAGTTTCACTGAATGAAATCACTTTCCATCTAAAGAGTGAAGTAAAACTGCTGAGACACAGCGGTGCCGTGGGCAGAGATGATACTGAAGAAATGTTTAATACATTCATTTTTCATTTCTGCATCATTAAATGGGTCTGGGCCCCTCAGAGTAAACTGTCTGGTCCAATCTGTTAATCACTTCCCTCTAGAAGCATAAAAACTGAGGAGAAGACGACGTTACCATGGGATTTCAGAAATGGGCACCTTGGAGAAAACATGCTTACGTACACACTTCACATCACTGGTGCTGAGTTCCTGTACTTCCTTTTGACAGCCTTTTTAATCTCTTCAGTCACATGTTAATCAGCTCTCTAGTTGATTAACATTTGACAAGGGAGTATACATTCACATCCATGTCTAAAATAATTTATATCTGGCTGTAAAGAAACTATCTGCATGAACGAACACATAACTGTGGAGATACAAACCAGCGAGGGGAGTAATTAATACATAAATGCATGAATGACTGAATACTTCAATCTATAATAGGATGAGAGATTGTATGAATGTACCTGTTGAGGTCCCACATTCGAACAGTGTTTCCAGCAGCAGCGTAGAGCACAGACCCTGACGGGTTGAGGGCTATCTGGTTGATCTGACACTCGCCCTGTGCAAAGGTTATTGTGCGGGTGGTGGTGCCTGCACACGCATCACCTGAAACCACCTGTCCTGATGAACTGTAGGGAAAAAGGAGAAGCCAAACAATGTAAAAGAGGAAATAATAATAGAGATAAAGAGACAAGTGTAATGAACAGAATTTAACAGTTGTCATTTCCACTAGATGCATTTCATATCAGTTTTTCCCTAATTTTATTTGTCACTTTTCTGCAACTTAAAACACATCACTGAACAGAAAAAGCATATCCATAAATCACTTCTATCAAATATCTTCTCAGCTGCAATTTTTTAGTTAAACTGCTCCGAACCACTTCATCTGGCTGGTTGCGAACAGGAAACTTACGTAAGTGTGCGAATACACTTGGCAGAGTCTCGGATGTCCCACACCTTGATGTAGGAGGTGGAGACAGAGAAGACCAGACAGGAGGAAGGGCAATATTTGACTGATACCACGTTGTTTGGGTGGCCTTTGAGGGTTACAATCTCCTGACCTGTTACCAGGTTCCACATCTTACAGGTACGATCTGGAGGAGGGAAAAAGGGCAGTTCAAATACTCTGCACAACAGACTGGGTTGACACTTGCATACATATCATATTGCATAAAATTTTACATTTTAAAATTACACATTTTATCTCATTTGTTTAATCCTCTAATATCTGTCTGTTAAATATTTAGCAGGATCTGGCAGCCAGTTAGCTTAACTTAGCTTTAAGACTGGAAACAGCAGAAATAAGAATTTCTAAAGAAAATATAATAACACCCTATATCTCCTTTGTTTAATCTGTACAAAAACTGTGAAACAAGTGTGTAATTTGTTGAAATTTTATCCATTTATTTTTATAGATTTTACAAACAAGCCATACAGTAATGTGAGGTTAGTTTCTGCCTGTTTCCAGTCTTTATGCTAAGCTAGGCGGAAGCTCCACACTTAACACAGAGAAATATTGTAAGAGTGGTATCAATCTTCTCATCTCACTCTTGGAAAGAGAGCAAATCAGTGTATTTACCAAAATATTGAACTAATCTTTTAGTGGTGTAATTAATCTGAGATTACAGGCATGTTATCTGATCCTATTAAAAGATCTTGAAAAATCATGTAAGAACAGCCATTAAGGCCATGTAAGGTCATGTCAAATACCTCCTAAAGAAAGAGCTAAGAGTACAGTTATCGGTATGTTTACCTTTAGATCCGGTAAACAGCAGCTCATCGGTAGCATCCACACACAGTACCGGCTTCGAATGGCCCTCGGCTACAGAAACACACTGCAGGGGCGCCGTCCGCCCCCCCTTCACACCCCCGATGGGATTGATCACACCCCTAAAGATCAGACATATACAGTGTCACAGTCTCCTTCACTATAAATTACACACATTTCCACACATCCACAGATGTATGCACTCCAAAACACAGGCCGATCACAAACATGCACACAAAAACACATATGTTCTTTCCATAATACGAAGACAATACAAACCCATACAAACCTCACTGGATACACACAGATTATGTTGTCTACCTGAAAAACTATGAACATGCAATCACTCACACACACACACTTTCTGTTGGTTTCCTGGGCCCACCTGCTACATCTATCTAGCCTGCCTCCACTACCCCCTCCCTTCTTTCTTTTTTTGTGGAATAGCCCAATTAAAGCACTACAACAGTAAGAGCTGCTTCAATTCAACCTCTCTCACTCACTTACTCACTCACACAGAGCCTCTTTCATACTATGTGCACTCAATCTCTCTAGCTAAACCTCTGCCCCCCTCAACCTTCCAGTCTATGTCCCGCTGACAGGCCAGTGTCCCAGAGTGCCTGGAGAGCAGTCAGCAGAGTGAGACAGAGCAGGCAGAGGGTGAGAAGAAAAGGGAGGAATGTGGGAAAATTGGTCCCTGGTGGGCTTCCTAATAACACCAGTGGAGGTGAGTGTGCATGTCAGTGTGTATGTGTGTGAGAGAGAGTGAGGTAGAGAGCGAAACAGTGAGAGAGAGCCAGAGGATGTGAGGAGGGAAAAGAGAATCTGTGATTACACATAAAACTAAGGACAAGGTTTGTTTCTGCACAGAGTGAGCAAAATATAGAAGGTTGTGCTTGAAACTTGTCTCTTCAGTGCTTGTGCATACACTGATGTCTCAGTGTGAAAACAACACACAAATACACACGTCAAATCAAAAATCAAACACTAAAAACATACTTTTTGTGTATCTTTTTTACAGTGCATAAAAATGCCAACCAAAATCAAAAACTGTCAATCATCAGCCAGTGAAAAATATTGCATGCATGTCTGCCAAGTCTCATGAAACACAAAAGAGAACCAACTAGCACAGAATAATCTCAAAACAATTGGTAACAACAGCCGCAGCCTGGAACACTGACTACACAGCAGTCTGCAACTCAAAAATAAACCACAGCACAACGTCCTAAGACGTCATCATCACCACATGCAGCATCCATTCTCTACCAGTCAGGTGAGGGCTGACTCGCAGTTCAGCACCTCTACAGCCAATCGCCTTTTGGGGCCCAAGGAAAAGAGTATCTGGTAAACATGGGTAAATGGAGGGATGTCGATAACAAAGTCAGCTTCTGCTCCTTTGCGGAGCTGCAAAACCTGACTGTGATGGCAGGTATATAGAGTGAACAGTGCATCACACATAATCTGTCCCACCCTCTTTTTGGTCTAATTCCATTTTGGAAAGACTGATGATAGAAAGCAGGGTATTTCTTTGATAAAAAAGAGGAGAAAACCCTACATGGGAAAGCTCTGTTAATATGATTTTTTCATAAATGGAGAAGAGAGGGGAAGGAAGATTTATTTTGAATTGGGAGAAAAATTTGAGGTGCAGTTTCATTTGAATGAACCTTATCACTCTGAAGGCTGGTTAAAATGAGGAGTCAGTTCATCCCACGACATCATACAATCACAAGTTACTTTGTTTATCATTATGTTGTATTATTTTCAATATAGTCTTTATATATTCTCTTTTGTTTTTCCTCTATAAGAACATATACTGCACATTGCTAAATTCAGCACTCCATTTCTTACAGCAGTGCATTGGTCCAAATGGCAGAAAGTGTTCCCATTCTATCAGCGCCAGTGGAAGATATCATAGTGTGCTGTGTTATGCACTATGTAAGGGCTGCTAATGGATGTTGCAGGGCCAAGCACCATGAGACCAGCAGACTAATGAAAACATGGAGAGAGAGCAGTGTGTGCTCTCTGCAGTACACAGAAAAACAGACAGAAGAGCCATGGTGGGAGGTGCATCAATTTGTGTATGTGTGTGTGTGTGTGTGTGTGTGTGTGTGTGTGTGTGTGTGTATGTGAGAGACACAGTGTGTGTGACTGTGTGTGTGTGTGACAGT